ATTGATAAACTAGAAGAAAAGAAAAGAACAAACAAGACGTCAGGAAGCAATTAATACAGAGCGAACCGACGATTCTGCCTTCCTCTCCTACCGGCTTCATCCCTTTTATGCTTTGCGATAGCGTACCTAAGTGTACCTAAGCGTCCTGCAGGACACTTCGGGAAAAATGCAAAACACTCTTAGCCAGAAATGGTGAAATCCAATAGCCATGTAATAACATGAAGCCGTTCCATGATGGCAGAATACTACGAGAACCGAAAGCCAGGAGAAAGCAGAAGCGGTAGAAGAAAGCAAAGAAAAGAAGAGTGAAGAGGAGAGAAGAAGATGAGGAAGAAGAAGAAGATGGAGAGGAAAAGGGGAAAGGAAAAGGGGTACCGACTGGCGTAGCTCAGTTGGTACACCCTTGAACTGTTGAAATACAGACGTGAACTCGAACTCCACAAGAAACAAATGAGTAAAATGCAATCAGAGTCACTTTCATTCACACTTTACATGCATGCAAACAGGTGCGCAGCAAACTGGCGACAGGCGCCCACTCAGAACGCAGAGATATGGTAACCAAGAACGCAACTCAGATACAGGTTCACTTCAATGGCTATGGCGACACAGCGCCCACACAACTCTCTGTTCGCACACACAGGATCACCCTGGATATCCCACACGCGATACTCTGTACACATACACACACACACACACACACACACACACACACTGCACKCTATCTACAGCTATGGCGGCTATGGCCGCTGCTACCCTATCGCTATGGCTAAGCTCCTTCTCTCTCGCCCACTTCTTCCTCGGGCTCACTGCAGACCACCTCGCACAAGTCGCTGTGGCAGCGCTTCGCATGGCTCACGCAGGAATGAACGAATGGCTGGATGCCGCCCTTTGATTTATATTTCTGTAGCTCGTTGGTCTGGCCCTTTCCCTTGCCCGTGGTGCACACAGTCCCATGCGGTACTTGCTTGACTGGACTAGGACTGACTGGGACCGGTACTGCTGACTGCATGGGTTTGCACTGCCAACTCGATGCAGCCGCACTGCCGACGTACTGCACTTGGGCTCACCCCTTGCCCACTTGCCAACTTGCCTCTGCCAAAACGTGAGCAACTTTGAAAGGCCACTACTAGGACCTTCCGGAAGTCTGGGTCCTGGCCTTTCGAAGACTGTAGCAGCTACGACCTTGACCCTTCAGGACTGTAGCAGCTACGACTTCTAGAACTCCCTAAGACTTCTACTCGACAGATCTACAGATCGAACCCCTGCTACCTACAGACCCTACGACAGTCTACCAACTGTTACAAATACACAGGTCACAGGTTCAACTCTCGGGGTCGACACGGATGCTGTACACATGTAAGGAGAGGACTAGGGATCGAGCCCTGGGATCTGCATCGGCTACTGCAAACTGGTGAATACCGTTTCAAAAATACGGAAAGGCAAAGAACTCCACGAGAAACAAATGAGTAAAATACGGAAAGGGAAAGAACTCCACGAGAAACAAATGAGTAAAATAAGGAAAGGGAAAGGGAAAGGAAGGAGGGAAAGAGGGAAAGACGGATGAGGAAGGAAACGAAAGGACGAAGGGGAATAAGAAAAGACGAAAGAAGAAGAAAGAAGGAGAAAGAAGGAAAGAAGAAAGAAGAGGAAATAAGAAAATAATAAACGTAGTACAGGGAGAGTTGAATGGAGAAACAAAAAAGAAACCATAATAACAGTCTAAAGAAAGAGAGAAAGAAAGAATGGCACAGAAAAAGGCAAAAAGATTTAAAAGAACAAGTGGACCCGCCGCAGCTACGCTACGGCCGAAGGGGGGTGGGGGAAGGAGAGGGAGGAGATCGTCGTAGAATGTTGCTGTTTTTTTTTTCGAGGTGCTGTTTGGTACCCTCTCTCTCTCTCTCTCTCTCTCTCTCTCTCTCTCTCTCTCTCTCTCTCTCTCTCTCTCTCTGTGTGTGTGTGTGTGTGTGTGTGTGTGT